TATGTGTGTATATGTGTGTGTATGTGTGTACGCACGTACGTTGGTGACTGTGAACTTCTTGGTGCCGTCCTTGGGCGTCAGGGCAATGCCTTGGACCGTGGAGGTGTCGAGAGTGAAAGGCAAGGTGACTCTCAGCTTCCCTGTGTCGGTCGGTTGAGAAGGTGGCCCCGGGACGTCTTCAGTTGGAGGTGGCCCCGTTCCTTGCTTGAATACCAATCGCGAAGAGTACCGCTGGCCGCTCTCGATGCGATTATCGTTCAGCGTGATCGTCAGCCGCGACACACTCACCGAGAACTGCGCTCATCAGCCACACACACACACACAAACAGACACGCGTATGTACACGTAGACACAAACACATGTACAGCCATACATACACACACAGCCAAACAGTACAGACAGACAGACAGACAGACAGGCAAGAACGTCCATCCGTGCTCTCTCTGCCTGTCGTCCCTATCTCAGCCAGGCAGGCATCGAGCCCCTATCGAGCCAGCAGGCTGGCCAGAATACGTAGACGTATACATGCAGACACAGACATACCTTCTTGACTGTGAACGGCTGTTGCTTGCCGCCAATGGGTGTGAGGACAACGTTGTCGATGGTGTTGGGCTGCACTCCGGGCGGCAGAGGAACCTCAAGGACGCCCTTTGTCTTCGATTCACCCTCGCCGCCCTCCATCTCCTCGGGTGGAAGAGGACTCGGGGCTTCCTCTGGTTTTTCTCTGAATCCCGGCTGAAACTGGTAAAAGACGCCGTCTTTCAGGTGCGTCGAGGACACTGTGAAGCTCACGTCATCATAAACGAACTGAAAAGCAGGTAAGGCTAAAGAGATGTGAGAGCACATTGAAACCGTAGATTCTCAATCCTGCATACATCTTTTGAAACAATAGGCTGAGTATAGTGATCTGCGGCTCCGGTTGCATCGACAGGGTGCGCTCTCCATGAGATGATACTGTCCTCTTTGCCCATGAGCCTCTGATCCTTTTTAAATGTCGCTTTGCCTTCTTCGGCCACTCCCTCTTTGTATACGTCTTCTTCATAGTAAGGCTCTTCAGGCAGAGGCCCGCCAGGAGGATGTGGATGCTTCTCTTTGATGTCCTCTGGTAACGTATGACAAATTGCCACATCTCAACCCTGTACCCTTCTCGATGATGTATCATACCTTGGTCTGGAGGGATTGGAGACTTGTAAATAGGCTTGGCATTGTAGGCCGCCCCCTTGCGAATGTTCTCATTCTCCAGGACTAGTGTCACCATGTCTTCTGTGGTGCCATTCTCCGTTCGAATCTGCCGGGACATAACAATAGTGTTTCCAAATCAGCAGATTCACTGTGCCAATTATAGGCGACCTTGGTAACGACAAAGGGAAGCTCCCCTCCCTGTGGAAAGAGGATGAAGCTGGCAATCTTACGTGCCACACTCTTTGGCACTTGAAGGCTTATGGTCCCCGGCTCAGGCGAAGGCTGAGGCTTTTCGTCGAGCTCCTTGCTAAGGTCTTTTTCTCTTTTCTCCTCTTGAAGCTCTTGAATGGTCTTGAATTGGATACGAGCCTTGTACGTGATGTCTTCTTCTATACGATCATCAAGCAAGATCACGTAGGTCACATCGCCCTCTTTTTCAAAGTCAAACTGCACATACATAATAGCCAATCGCCAGATGAGTCGTGTATCTTCATAATTCCTGCTTTACCGGTGTCACTCGAAATGATGCTTCCTCGCTTTCTCCTTCTGGCGTCAACCAAACGTATTTGATAATCTTGGAACTAGTGTTGGGAGGGATAGGCGCTCGGAGCTTTCGGCTTTCGTCAGGCTCGATTTCATCCTCAATTACATCCCTTGCACCCTCCGTACCATTGAGATTGTCCAGGACATCACCAGGCAACCGTTCTAATGTATCTTCAAGCTTCTCCTCCAACTCCTCCTTGGATTTGTCAAAGTCATCGATCACGCGATCTTCTTCTTTTTCATCAGGACTCTTCTTTTCAGGGACTGGCGGAGCTGTCGGCATGGGAAGATAGAGGACCGTCACAAAATAACGACGCCCTGAGTGGATTCGTTCGTCTCTCAGATTGGCTATTCGACGGACAACATCACCCTCGTATTTCTTCTCAGAAGACATCTGCGGGTACACAAATTATAGCACTGTATGCCCATACAAAGAGAGTACTTACCATTTTGCATTTGAAAGACTCACGACTTCCTTCCTCTCGTAGTACAAAGCTTTCTATTCTCTTTATTCTCATGATGTCCACTGTGGGCGGGACTGAAATGACGAGCAGTCCATTCGTTTCTGGCGTTGCCGATCCTAGACTCTGCTCCTCTTCCGGTAGCTCTTCATTCGGCTTGCCCACTTCTGGCTTGGGCGGGAGGGAAATGTCGTAATCACCCGGCGGCACTTTCGGATTGGGCTGCTTTATCACGATCTCTCCATCGACGATGTCAAACTAACCAACCAACCAACGAGCCACAGACAGACAGCCAGCCATCGAGTCAATCGAGGGATGGTGAGCCAGGGAAGGGGCTTTGCATCTGTGTGTCTCTGTCTATGTGTGTGTGGTGGTTGGCTATTAAGGACCGCCTCACATCTTGGGGTCTGTGCAGGGGGATCTCGTGGCCTTCTTTGTCTTCCAAGGTAATCTCATCGACGTCCTCCGGGGCCACGTTGGGTGGCAAAGGCACGGGAGGCGACTCGCTGTCCACCGGGTGATGGCCCAGGTCTGCATGAAATCAATGCACACAAACACAGACAGATAGACAGACAGACAGATCGATCGCACATACTCATGCATCTGCCTCAACAGCAGGTGTCTTGGTCTGTGTGTCGATGTGTTCGTATTCATGTGTGTGTACCTTCTTTGGGCG